TAGCTCACACTTCATGCACACGCAATTTCACTTCTTAAGGACAACATTTAATTTACAACTACTATACCAAAAAAGTTGTTCTTAAGAACTTATTCATACACCATTCTTACTAGGGTAGCTCACACTTCATTCACACGCAATTTCACTTCTTAAGGACAACATTTAATTTACATCTACTATACCAAAAAAGTTGTTCTTAAGGGCTCATTCATACACCATTCTTACTAGAGTAGCTCACACTTCATGCACACGCAATTTCACTTCTTAAGGACAACATTTAATTTACATTTACTATACCGAAAAAGTTGTTCTTAAGGGCTCATTCATACACCATTCCCACTAGGGTAGCTCACACTTCATGCACACGCAATTTCACTTCTTAAGGACAACATTTAATTTACATCTATTATACCAAAAAAGTTGATCATAAGGGCTTATTCATACACCATTCCCACTAGCATCGCTCACACTTCATGCACACACAATTATACCCGTTAATCACAACATTTAACTTACATTTACTATACCAAAAAAGACAATTTAAAGGGCTCGTCGATACACCATTCACACTAGCATTTCTCACATTTCATACATGTACAGGTATATTTTCTAATTACGTTGTCAAACATAATACAGATATGCACACAAACATTTGGATAATAAGAAAAACATACATAGCAGGAAGTACGTTCACACACACAACACACACTTATTTTTTATATGTTTTATACGGCGGTAAGGAAACACTTTTTCACTTTTTGGAACAAGAGTCCTAGAGAAGTCGCGATGTTTTTATTTGGTTTTGTTTTACTTTTCTGCGGCATAGACGATAGAGGCGCTGTTAATCTCCGTTACAGCACAAAAATGCAGACTAGCAGTTCGAGATTTTGATATTGTCAGATAGATGGCGTCTTTGTGCCGATGGTTCTTTCCGTAGGAAAACGTGCACATTGGGAGTTTCAGGTACACAAATTTGTAGAAATATCCGGTTTAATCGTAATTTTTTCTGCAAGTAGCAAGAAAACGCAAGATTTGTCGCAATTTCTAGTCTTTTCGTCAAATCAAGTATCTCGTTATAGTCACTTTCAGTTTCGTGTACAAGTACGTGTAATCAGTGTGTTTATGGGTATATGTGACACTTCTTCCTTTTAAGTTTTTCAAAAATAATACAATTACAGCTTTTTGTGTAATGTCCATAAAATAGTTGGGTTGGTTTTCTTTTGTACATTTTTCTTCAACTTCAAATCATCAAAATAAAAGTTGTATGTCAATTCAAAAGGAAAACACTGGGAAAGAGTGGACAAATCAAAACATGTTTTATTTATGAATGAGCTTGTGTGTTTCACATGTAATATAAATTATAATTACAGCATTTTTTTATTGTTATTTTGTAGGATGTTGATGCCAAAAAAGAATCGTGTAGCAATTTATGAGTACCTTTTCAAAGAGGGAGTCATGGTTGCGAAAAAGGACTTTATTGGTAAACACCCTGAACTAGAAAATATTCCCAATTTGCAAGTTATTAAGACTATGCAGGTAACAAATTTCATTATTTTTCTTCATACTTCATAAGATATACCTGTTTACATCAACAATAATACTAATCAATCATAAGATCAGTGTGTTAAAATACCAAGATCCTTAAATTATTCAACTTGGACATTACTACACCAATATTTTAACAATATTTTTATAGAATTACTTATTCAGTGTTTTTTTTTTCATTCATTTTTTAGTCTTTGAAATCTAGAGGTTATGTCAAAGAACAGTTTGCTTGGAGGCACTTTTATTGGTACTTAACCAATGACGGCATAGAATATCTGCGTGCCTACTTACATCTGCCGCCAGAAATAGTACCGTCCACTTTGAAAAAGCAACCAAGATCAGAGACCACAAACAGAGGTCCGAGACCAGCTGCCACCAGATCCGAAGGATCGAAACCAACAGAAGATCGAGCGGGATACAGGCGGGGTCCGGGCGGTCCTCCTGGCGCTGCTGACAAGAAGGCGGATGTTGGTGCTGGTACCGGCGATCTGGAGTTCCGAGGTGGTTTCGGTCGCGGAAAATCTCTTCAATAATTTTGTTATGTACAAAAAAACATCTTAGTCATGTAGGTTTTATTGGAATAAACAGGTATTTCCTATATTCGAATAAAACTGCGTGATATATAATTTATATCATTTTTATTTTATTGGCGCTCTTCTGTACCAATATAATTCCTTTTCTATGAAAAGAAATTTTATTCTTTATTACTGAAGTAACAAATTGATAACAAAGCGTTAATATCCAAAACGTTCAAGTTTGACATCTCGCGTCCTTTCCTGGAGAAAAATAACCTTTTTTTTATGTTCCCCTCTCGTTATTTTTTAAATAAAAAACTCGGAGAAAATGATGTATTACGTTACTTCAAGAAATCCGATTTGAATCGTTCCTATCGATTGATAGCTGAACACGATTAGAGAGTCTCAAGGAGACAGTTGTAAACTCACGACGTCACAGTCGCTTCTGATTGGACAGCTGAAAAAGCTGCCCACCGAACTATAGTTTCTCAGAGAGACAATTGCTTTTGACCGGACAAAGAAAAAAGCTGCCCGGTGACGTTACGAGTTTGCGACTCTCTAAACACGATTATCGCAACGTAGCGCTATTCCGTACGTACTTACATACAGACATAAAACAACGAACTGGCTTTCGATCAAGTTCCCGTTTTTTTTTTTTAGTCTTTTTATTTGAAACTCGTTCTACGTACAGAGTTTGGTTCGGTATAGAATATCTTATCTTTTCTTTTTTTTTATCATCAAAAGACACGCGTCACTTCGCTTATCATTCATTTTACTTACGCGTAAACCGCGTAATGCATCGACTACGCTCGTGCGACTTGACGGCTAAACTATGGAGGAAACTGAACAACGCGCTTACGATCCATCGCCAGCGACGATCGATCGCCGCCGTGGACTCGCTCGTTTACGGACCCGAAGTGAGTGCGGCCCGAAACAACGGACTGCCGATCGTCGCGCTGGAATCGACGATCATCACGCACGGCATGCCGTACCCGGACAATTTGAACACCGCGCTGAAAGTTGAACAAGCGGTCAGAAAACAAGTTCGTACAATAAATACGTAGCACGCTTTTCAATAGTGGTTTTTCACAATTTTTAAATTGAAATAATTTTACGCGACAGTGAGCATTAATTTCTGATTCGCTTCAGGGCGCTGTGCCTGCGACAATAGGAATCATAAGTGGGAAAGTGCACGTAGGCTTGAACGCTGAACAATTGGAGATTTTGTCGAAAGCGGATTCCGCGAAGACCGCGAAATGTTCACGCAGGGATATATGTTGGGTCGTGTCTCGCGGATTGAACGGCGGAACCACAGTCAGCGCGACGATGTTGATCGCGCACGCAGCGGGTATCCCGATAATGGCAACAGGTGGTATCGGCGGTGTTCACAGAAACGCCGAACTCACTTTTGACATCAGCACGGACCTGACCGAACTCGGACGCACACCAGTGGCGGTTGTCTGCTCCGGTGTTAAATCCATCTTGGACATCGCCAAGACGCTGGAGTATCTGGTAAGCGAACAAATACGCGCGCGTATTTCGCGTTTGATGTTCATTAAAGGTTTCTTTTGTGAAATTTGCTCTTTTTGTGATCGCAGGAAACACAGGGAGTGTCGGTGATAAAAATCGGGGAAACACCGGAATTTCCAGCTTTTTATTGTTCCGAGACTGTGGATAAAATCGAGACGCCGTGTCGAGTTTCCAACGCTAAGGAAGCAGCTGACGTTGTGAGGGCGCAGAAAAGATTGGCCATTGACACGGGGATGTTGCTCGCGGTCCCTATCCCCGCGAAATACGCGTTGAAACCGAGCGTCATGGATTCTGCGATATCCGAGGCTTTGAGAAAAGCCAACGACGCGAATGTAACGGGCAAGCTGGTTACGCCGTTTCTTTTGAACGAGATCAACAAAATCACACGTGGCCGGTCTCTCGAAGCGAGTGAGTGCAACAAAAACAAATGCGACACCTAAAATACACGGTAAACAAAACACAAACCATTACTGACGAACATGATTGTGCAGATATAGCTCTCATAGAAAACAATGCTAAGGTAGCGGCAGAAATCGCGTTGAATCTTTGCGAAAAGTCGTCAACATCCCATGATGGACCTGCTCCTATCCGGTCGATAATATCAAGAAAAAAACCGGTAATTACGACAAATATAAAATACAATATAAATACAAGTAAATATAAACTTACAATATATAAATACAAGTTAATTATAAACTTATAATAAATAAAATAATTTTTTAAGACAGAGCGAAATTGTTTGAAAAAGTTCACTTCGCTGATAAATCGCGTATTGAAACATGTCACATTGCTCTGTCTGCTGATGAACGCGGCACTTGATGTTAATGTCCTCCTATTTCAGGTGGTGATAGGAGGCGCCGCTCTGGACACCGTGCTGCAGGTGAAGGAGCCCGAAATAAACGTAAGTCAAAGAGAGAGAGAGAGATCTCACAATCAAAATTATACTAAATAACCAATTTTTTTTTTGTATTCACATTACATGATACAGAACAGTAACAGTATTTATATACAATTACCACCATATTCTGTTTTTTTTTCTTGTTTTTTTTTTCTTGTTTTTTTTTTTTTATGTACATTCAATAATATCAAATAATCGGAACTCTCGCGTAGAATAGTTAATGGGGGGGGGAGAAGGAGGGGAAGAGTACAGTGTGTTATGTTTTTTTTTTGTTTTTTTTTGTTTTGATTTTTTTAACAAACGCTTTATAGAATAGCAAACCTATGAAATACGACCGTCACAACCATTGTGAGACGACGTATGTTTATGTAACTTAATCGAGTATATAAGACGCAAGCTTCTGTTATACACGACATTACGAAAGGTTCATCGAAAACGTAAACGCGCTATAATTGAGCTTGTGTGATTTTAACTTTGTTTTTTGTTTTTTTTTGTTTTTGTTTTTTTTTTGTTTTTTTAAACTACGTACAATTGTTTTTAATGTTCGCCGTTCCTCTTTCACTAACAGTCTTCATATACACTTTTTTGTTTCGGTCATATACTCACGCACACATATATATGTATACATATATGTATGTGTGTGTGTGTGCGCGCGCGCGTGTGTGTGTCATATCTTTCATACAGTATTAAAGTACGTAATCAAAAGCCCTTAAGAAGGTGCATATACACTTCTCTCTCATTATGTCGCGCTACGATCACTCTATAATGTGAATTACTTCATTTGCAACGTCGCGCGCGAAAAAACGTCGACATGTCGAAAGAAAAAATTGAATCGAAAAACAAATCCAAAGCGCTGATGTTTTCGCCCGTCCGTCTTTAAGGAACATATTCGATGTTAATTGCAAAAACATCCAAAAATTGTAAAAAAAAAAAAAACAAGAAGAACACGGTCAGCAATGTGTTAATTGCAATTTGCACGTAAATTTGATATTTTTTTTTAATATTGCAAGAAGATTTGTTTTTGTTATACGTTTTTTTTTCGCGCGACGTTGCGAATGACTTTGCTCGACCGTACCTAGTATTAGGTTGAGATACAATAATAAATTGGAATTTAAAAGCAGGCACTATTTCGCAAAAGCTTCCCCTCAAGTCTCTTTCACGTTTCTTCTTCACTTTTGTTCTTGTATATTGTACACTTAAGATAACCGATTACAAATCGCTACCGGTTGTTTGTTTTGAACTTTTGGAGTCTTCCTCTTGCAGTGTGTGGTTTTTATTTATTTTTTTTTATTTTTTTTTATTTTTTTTTTTTTTTGTCTCTCGGGATATATACCGCACGAATAAAATATACAAAGATCTAAAATTCGCCTTCTCGCCTCTTCTCTCTTCTCTTGTCCTTCGGTTCTTCTCCTAATAGGAAAGTGGTGATACATTAAATATATACGACACGATCGAAGCGAGTTTTTTAAACATCTCATCGTTTGTGTGTGTGTGTGTGTGTTGTTGTTGTTGTTGTTGTTGTGTGTCGAGAGTATATATGGTACAAGTTTTTTTTTCGCGTGTCTCTCTTCTTTCTTCGGAACTTATATATATGTATATATATATATTTCTTCTCGACTAATTAATTAAAAAACGGTTGGTCTATATCTCTTTGTATATAACATCTTTTTATATATATATATATATACTCTATATATATATATATATGTATATTCAGTGGCAGAGGCTGTGTGTCTGCGAGGTGTAAGCTTCGACATATTATTAGCTCGTTACATTCAACAATAACTCGATGGTCTGATTAAGAAAGAATTAATTACACTGATGAGCGAATTACGTTTTGCGTGTCGATGGGAAAGGAGAACAAAAAAAAAACAGGGAACACCTTTTCTCCATCGAGAGAGAACGAAAAAAAAAAAAAAAGAAAAGAAAACGCGCGGCGATATTTTAACTCGCTAACAACGGCCTATATATGGGGGAACGTTTCAGGCTTCGCGTTTAATAAATTACCCTGTTATCCAGACTAGTGTTGTATTGTTTATAACTCGCGGAGAGATGTGGGATATCAGATTTCGTGACACATAAATCTCGAACTCTCTATCTTCGAGACAGACGGGTTTTCAACGTAAAAAGGTATACACCGCGATATATATATATATTATATTGATCAGATGGTATTATAGAAATGTGCGTGTAAAGTGTCTGTATTTCTGTGTGTGTGCGTGAATTAACCGAGATATAATAAATCTAAGAGGTTCTTCTCCTTAAGCAGACGATCGACACTTAATATTAACTATTGTACGCCAGTATATACAGCCTACTGTAGTATTTGTATTCGTTATCATTGCATCCCCATTAATTAAATGTGTTAAACCCTAAGATTTTCTTTTTAATCCTAGCTAGGAAGCCAGTTATTTCATATGAGTTTTTTTTTTTTTTTTTTTTTGTCTTTGTTTTACGTCATGTCTTTTTTTTTCATTTTTCTTCATTCTTACTTACGGGGGATCTCCATTATATCGGGATCCAACGCGCGGTGTCGTCCGCGATGATGATGTGTCGCGCGAGAAAGAATAACATTTTAGATAAACATTTTCGTTTAATAAATGAAATCGAAAGAAACGTGCAAACACTCTGTGTGTGTGTGTGTTTTGCGTCACACCCCCGGCCCGCAACAATGGAGATCTAGTTACAAGGAACAAATTGGTATTAGCTACTTGCGTGACGCGCGTTTCTCAGATGTGTGTGTATATGCGTGTACGTAGAAAGCAATTGAGAAAAACGAATCGATCAAATTATTCGTATCCGTATGTCGGGGAAAAATCTCTTCCTCGCTTTCACTCTCTCTTTCACTCGTCGCTCTTTCTCTCTCTCTCACTCTCTCACTTTCTTTCGTTCACCGTGGCGGCGAGGAACAAAAGCAACGCGCGGAACTCTCTTGGCCGAGAGAGAGAGTCCGGGTTTTGCCAAGACAAATAAATAATTTATCCAATTCGAGAATGAGGGAAACGGGGGCGACGGTTTTGGCAGTAGTATCATCACAATGTTCTCCCCCGTAACTGTCGTTTTGCGTTCTGAAATCATCGCTAAGTTGTCGGACTGTTGCACAATCCCCCGTGTCTTATAACACCGTTCGGGGTGCATATATTTCCGCGCGCACCTACCGCGGACAGAAACGCATCGCGTCTATAGACGGTGATCTTCTTGCATTATTAAAGCAAACACGTGAAGTTGGGAGAAAAGTAATTTCGCGTCTCTTCGCGAACAATGAGAGCTATTAAACAAAGTTTTAAAGTAAAAGTTCTTCAACGAATGACTAACTGAATCTCTTTTCTCTTTATATTGCGACGCGCTTGTTGACGGCAGCGGCAGCGCGATGTGACTCAAAGTCACATCAAAATAACATCAAAGAAGAACGAAATTTCGGCACAAAGAAAGAGACAGAGATATTTTGCGCACCATATAGAACAAAGGTGAGGAACGAAGTTGGAAGTCTGAGGAAGAAAACAAGAGCCCCCGTTTATTTATAGACGACGACAGTTACATGTTCGACTTGTGACGTACTACTCGGTGTGGTGAATTGTCGGCATATGTTGTCTTCGCAGATGAAGGGAGAACGGCGCGCGCGACGACGATAGACTCTCTCCGTTTGGATGACGCGCGCGATCGATCGGATAATGATGACGATTTCGTTCTGCTCGGAAAGCGTAAGAAAAACTCACTTACACTAAAAATTAAATCTACAAAAGTAGCCACACCGACCATGCGAGGACGGAAAAGACATGTATGTATGTAAGGTACACACTTGCGAAGAGAGTTTCGATAAAGGGGGCTGGGGGGAGGGGGGAGAGGCAGTTCGATGAGCAACTCTTGCGCGATGTGCAACTGTCGTGCGACACGCTCGCGCTCGCGCGCGCAAAACACAGCGGAAAAAGGTGATATATATGTATATATGTATATATATACAGGTAACATCTATAAAAGGTCGAGAAACTCTGCGGAAAGTGGTTTTTCTAGGAGGACATTTAAAATTAACCGCGCGCGTACACTCCCATTTGTGTAACTTCGACGATGACGAAATTAGCGATTTATGTGACCGCGCGCGAGAAAACGCCGACCGTAAATAGAATTCTGTTCTCTTCGAACTGTTTTTTTTTTTTCTTTTTGTTTCACGCGGGTCACGAGAGCAACTCTCTCGCTCCGCTTGTTTTAGAACGAATCGAATCGGGGGGGAGGGGGAGGAGGGTACAGCGACGTTTTGCGATCGCGCGCTTGGATAGAGAACGACCGACGCGCGAGCGAAGGGGGTTGATGATGCGGGGTTGTGTTTCGAAATGTTGCGCTCCCCCCCTCTCCCCGCAAGCCGTGCGCGAATTTTCAAACACTCCTCTTCGCGAGTCTTGCCTTACACAAACAACGAAGATACTCTCACTATTGGTGTAACATATGTTTTTTTTTTTTTTTTTTTTTTTTTTTTTTTTTTTTTTTTTGTTTTTTAAATTTTTGGCTCTTCTTTTTTTTTTTTTTTTTTGCTTTTTTTGTTTTTGATTTGGTCTTTTGTTAACATTTAGGTCTCGTCATGATATCGATTTTTTTTTCTTTTTTTTTTTTTGTTCGCTTGGTCTCTCTCTCGTGTGTCTTTGCGCCTTCTAATTGCGGAGTGGTTACACAATGCCGTTTTTTTTTCTTTTTCTTTTTTGTCTTCTCGAGTGTCACGTTGTATCAACCCACCGTACACACCGGCGAAGATAAAACGGGAGGCGAACAATGCGGGAATAATGTGTGCGCGGTAACTTGTCAACCTCTTCTGTCTCTCGCCGATCGCGTCGACGACAGCGATGACACCGTTTCCTCATCCGTGCACGTTGTCTGTTGGACTCGCGCCAGCCAGTAGCTCGTTACATGTGTACGTATTTATGTGTGTTGCTCCTTTTTTTTCTTTTTTTTTTTAAAAAAAAAAAAAAAAGAAACTAGACTGTCTTAGAGGAGAGTGTTTTACGCGTCTTATT